TACATATATTTTTTTAACAGTTTTAGAAGCATTTTTTTATAAGTGCTCCAAAATGGTGCTCCTAAAAGATTTTTTTTAAAGGAGTGAGTTTTCATTGAAATGTAAGATTTTGTTTTAAGTGTCTTATAATTAAAAAAAAAAGTATTATTTATTTTTATATTTAAACCCACAAGCACTGCTTTGTAATTGTGGAGTCGTTTTTCTCAAATGTTGTGCCCCTTAATTTCCCATCTTTTTTACTTTCTGACGCATCGAATTATAATCAGGGTTTAAAAAATTGGGTACCGTACGTGTTTAGGCACAGGAAGTGGTTTGTCATAAAAAATTGTAATGGAATATTTTCCTTCTGAGAGTTAGCTATGCTCTGAATTATTGATGACATTAATAAGATACACTACAAATTGTGCCTAAAAACTATGTATGTATGTATGTATGTATGTGTTTGTGTGTGTGTATTATAGTATAGTGCATTACACATTCGAGGTTCATATTTTCAGAACCTCTGCATGGCTGGAGCTTGGATGCTCAAATTGCAAGAACTTATTCAGGTATATATTTATGCATTGATTAATTAATTCTGCTTGATGTTTAATAACTTTCTCCATTACTCAATCACTTACAATGACAGTTCAGCTCAACTGATATGATATAGCGTTAGAGTGTATTTATTACTTTTATAGCTAGCTAGGGTGTGTTCTACACACAAAGAGACCCAGCGGGTAGGGCATACAGTTTTGGGTACCCTTGCACTCACGATCGAGAGGCTTGTATGTACATTCCGAGAAGACTAGTTAAGACTATCAAACGCAGAAGAATCATTGTGTGAGTGACTTGAGTGCGAGCCTATATAATTAATTGAAAGCACGAGAAACACCTGGTTGGCAAAGGGCAAGAAGAAATAATGCTATATTATATCGATCTTCTCAGTATCTTTCTGCGTCAGGGTATTTAGAGCGGACAACAGAAAACTATAGCAACAGATAAGATAAGGAATGTGAGCATCAACACCTCCATGTCGGCTTTCGCTATCTCAACATTTACACATGTTTGTTTTGTGGATATATTTATATATATATATATATGGTACCCTTGAATCCTTGATTTGATTCTCAGTTCGAACACAACGCACTGTTTTGATTCGTTTGTCATTAATTAAAAAGCACACATTTTGATTTATAAAACACGAGTCTAATTTCTGTCCGCCCCCTTAATTTCTTTATTTATAGCCTAATATATAATTCATCATGCATAATCGATGATCGTGCCATAAAATTAAAGACCATCGTCCTAATAGACAAGGTTATTATATTACTACAGTATTCACCCCCTGCCAAGTTAATTAACGCTGTTAGGTAGCAGTTAATGCTAAGAATTCGTTCAGAATATATATAAATACACTCTCTTCGTTTTCATTTATACAAAAAACTATTATTTTTAATTTATCTTTTCATACAAGTAGTAAAATCACATTTTTTAATAAACAATTATTATGAATTTTTTAAATTAATCCTTATAATTTCATAATTTATATTGATAAAAAAATTATGAAGACATGATTAATAAAATTATTAATATTATTTTAATATATTTTTATTTTTAGATATAATTAATATATTTAATTAATTTTTTTAATTATATAATACATTTTTATAAATAAAAACGGTGGGAGTCTGTGGCCTGTGGGTGTATGCCGATACTTAAAACTAGCTAGCTAGGCAAACACAGCTTTATTCCCTCCACGTGCACGGGCCCACTTGAAGATTAGCTAGCTCCTCTAATAATAGTGCACTATATAGGTAAAATTCATTCCTGCAAAAGGAACCGTATTGAAACAGATATCTTGCAGAAGTATGTGGTCCAAACTCAAGGTTTTCTTTTTGTTGGCCAAAAAAAAAAAAATCATACAGTGTTTCAATTAATCAGAGCAAGCTAATCACTCGCGTGCACAGTAACGATAACTAAAGCAAAAAATGACGCGGGAGCAGGAACAAGCTGTGGACAGGTGTAGCAGGCCGAAAACAGCTAGCACATTAATTATCAGCACCATGATCATTTAAAGCTAGAATATTACATAAATGCGCATAGACACCTTCAAAATCGGATTTAGATTCCGGCTCGCCTTTTCATATGTATAGGAGATAGGAGAAGTGTTCCTGTAACGTGAAATCTCTCCCTCCTGTATGTAAAGTATTTTTTAAAAATTATTTTATTTTTAAATAATCAAATAATTTTATTTTATTTTAAAAAATAATAGATTATTAATTGTATATTTTTTTACCATCATCATAATATTAATTATTATTTTATTAAAAATAAAATTAAAAAATTATCATATTTTTATATGATTTTAACTAAATAATAAATTTTTATTAATATGTAAAATTTAATTAAAAATAATTTATATATGGAGCTGGAAATAGAGGGGGTAATGATTTCCAGTTTTTTTTTTCGTTATTAATAAATGATTAATTAATTAGTTCCGCCGGATTGAATTGGACAGAAACAATAGCCTGGAGCCCCAGACATGACACGACAAGCTGCCAACTTCAGAGAGAAGAATAAACAAACACGTACGTCAAAGATGGTTTGGGCACAGCATGGGCCAAGATTAAATTTGTACTCTCTCCCGCTAGGGAAAGGGACTTTACTTTTCTCTCAGCTTTCCCTGTCTCAACTTTTTATATTATTTTATTATACAGTTTTTTTTTTTAAGATAGAATTAATGAAGAGTGGAAGATGAAGGAAGTGAGAGAAAAGGAGAGAGAGAAAAATAGAATCCCTCTTCCACTCTCCGCTATTCATGACACCTGCCACAACCCCTCTGTTTTATTATAATTGCCTTTTAAAATTGTTGCACATGTATCAAAATAATTTTATTTATAAATTATTTTTAATATATTTTATCAGTATTCAAGAAAATTTAAAACTCATTAATTCGATCTTAAAATTTAATAAATTTTTTAACTTTAACTTTATTAAATATACACATTTCAATAATATATATATTTTATATTATTTCAATATTTAATGGAGGGTAAAAGATCATGATAAAAATTTAATAACGTGACTTACAAATCGGATTAAATAAATTTTTCTCTCTATGCCCTATAATAGAACCAAAGAGAGTATTTCATTATCAAATGTTTATGCCTTTAAAATTACTATAGTAAGCAATAGTAAATTACTTCGTGGGTATATAAAAAGGAAAACTACTGTTAATGCTGTTTTGGAAATTCACATGGAACAAATTTTTTCTCTTAAAAAAATCCAAATGAAACGGAGGAAGCATGGGCAATGGATAAGACAATGCAAAGAAATATTCAGTGTCTTGAAACAAATTGTCTTTCTCATTTTCGCCCTCAATAATTGGAGTTGTATTATGGGGCAATAATTATGAGAGGGGTAAGGGAGAATATTGATAGTTGTAAATAGATGTGGATAGTTATGTGATATTAAAGAGTGCGGAGCACAAGAGGCTCCAAGCCCGTAACATACATGAGAGACATTTTGAAAAATGTGCATTAAATATTCAGACAAATACGTGACATTACTTACCATACTCTGAGATAACAATGGTTTAACCCATTAATGGATCAATGATATCTAGGAGTACATTCCCTCGTGCTTCAAAGCGCATCATCTTGATTGTTGGGTGGGGAACATCTACACATATGCATGCAACTGACGCTTTTCCATGTACACATACATTGAACCTAACGTTTGCATAGTCCAAGGTCATTTATTTATAACATCCCACCCTCAATGAATTGCCTGCTAGCTTTGCCAAAATGAAGCTAGTCGGGAGATAGTGATGTGATAGGATGGAGAGTGGATTATGATTTGAATGTTCATGTATTTTTTTTTTAAATAACAAAAACATTGAACGGCCTAACTTTTATCTTACAAATAAGTATCAATCAATCCCCTTCGAAGCAAGACGGATGATTCATTTGTATATGGGTACCATGAATTATGACCTATTACTAAATCATGTGCAATTGAACAATAGCTGCTAAATACGAAAGTCTGTAACTTCTCTACAGATCACACTCAAATAAATTATCTACAAACATGGACGCATTTAGAAGTTAACGACCTCATGAGGAGGCCAAATTGAAACGCAAAATTACATAACAGTGGGGGACCAGCAGCCTTGCTCGCCCCACTAAACCCATCCCAGTCTTTAAATCAAATTAAAGGTATTTTTTTTTAAATATTGAAGCGAGATATTAATTTTTTCTTTTTGTATAGAGAAATAGACACAGACATTCGTTATTCATGGGTGATCTGCTCTGCAGTTAATCCATTCACGCCGAATTCAGTTAATATATGTGCATTGATGAGATCGACATCAGCTCAGAATGTCAACTGACAGAAAAAGAGTAAAGTTCACATTGCCAATTGTGGACGGAATATAATTTGAGATTTGCATGAAATGCGGAATGATAATTTTTTCACTGCGGAATGATATTTTTCACTGCTGTTTACATGGGATAGGCGTAGACAGTAACCCAACCAATTTAAATATTCCCGATCATTTACCAAATATGGCTCATTAATATCAATTTTTAAACGAATTAAGTAAACAATGAATATTATGGAATAATCAGGCGAATCATTATAATTATTTCGTTCTTCCATATATATTTTTAACGTCGAAATATGATACTTTTCTGCAAAACCATCATTTCTAGCCGTTGATTAAATTTACAAACTACAAGTGTTAATGGTTGGTTTCACATAGTGGGTGTCATGCATTTGCTTGATAACGATCCAAGGAAAAGCATGTCGTTTATACCAAGAGTAAATGAGGGATTCACGGAGAAATTGGCAATACAACTTGTCTCGCCACGTGTTTTTAGCAATTGTTCAGGTTCTCACTAATTAATTAACCAGAACATTCCTTCATGTTGGTAACATAAATCTAGAGTGTTGATTCGCTCAATTTTACTCCTCCCTCATGCTTATTGCAAAGTAAAGGTAGACTTCGTCTTTCTGAAGATTCTTTATTCCTTTTCCTTTTGCATTTCTCATTACATTTTCTTCAGCCTTTCCTTTTTCTTTTCATATCCGTTTTATCATGTATGTTTCTCAACAAAGGCTTCAAATCAATCTTAGTGGGAGTACAATTTATACCGTTGTCCATCTAGATCTACATATAAAGATTGCAGGCTCCACAAGCTATATTCCAAAGTAAGAATTAACGAAACTAAGAGAACGAAGATGTTCTATACATGCGGCATATTCACATCACTTTGAGTAGCAAGAAAAGAAAAACGACTGATTCGGCAATGAGATCATTTAAGTTTGACTGCTTCGGGTCACGTAAATTTGGCTATAATAAGCTGCATGATAAAGACTAATGTACAAGTCCTATGGGGGAACTCCGGAGTCTTTTTAATTATCAGGAATATTTTGGAGGACGAACCATCGGTTTTGGACCTAACTAATTAAGCATTACCGTCTTCTTTCATGAACTTGAACCGGAAGGCCGCCTCTTACAGTGGCGGTAAGACCCGGGACGAAGCGGGGCTCTTGATTTGCCCCGACTGATCGAATTTTAAACCTTCGAACCAAGGCAATCACCACAGACTTCATCTCCACAAGAGCCAATTCCTTTCCCAAACAAACCCTAAGACCTGCCTGGAAAACCGGGTATTTAAATGGACACTCATGCACAAAAACACCATCTTGCAACCACCTCTGAGGCTTAAATTCCAGGCAATCGGAGCCCCAAATCCGCTCCATCCGACCCATCGCATACGGGTGGTATGTAACCCTGGTCCCCTTCCTCACAAACGTCCCGTCTGGTAACACATCGTCCTCCACGGCGAATTTTGAATCAAACTGAATAGGCGGGTATAGCCTCATACTCTCATGAACCGCCGCGTTCAGGTAATGCATACGGCGCATTTGTTCAAAGCTCGCGACATCCTGATCCGGATCCATGAGCTGGTCCAGTTCTTCCAGAATCAACGACTCCACCTGGGGGTGGCTTGACAGTAAAATGAAAAAGCCTGTCAACGCTGCAGCAACCGTATCACGACCTGCTAAGAGGAAGCTTACGACCACGTCTCTTAAATACTTATCGTCGTTGACTGAACCCATGAATCTGGCAAGAAGATCCTTTCGCGCTGAAAAACCCGTCTCCCGAGATTGTTTTATCACCCCCTCCGCTAAATCGTTTACTATGTGAATTGCTTCCTTTAGCTTCTTCTCAGATCCTACGTTGAAAAACCGTTTTATCTTCCATATAACCGGTGACGCGATCATTGCTCGCTCCGCGGATAGCTTCGACGCTAGGTCAAAGGCGTCGGCGAAACTCGACGTGGGAAGAGATGAGAGCAGACATCCTGGATCGAACCCGAACGAGAACTTACAAATGTTGTCGAAGGAGAATCGTCGGAAAATGTCTTGCAAGTCCAACACTTGGCCACGTTTACCAGATGCGGTGGAAGCCAGGAGAGGAATTAACCTCGTTCGGATCTCTTCAGTGACTATGTCGAGAGCATAGGACCGATTGGCGACGCTGCTTATTTCGAGGCTCGCCATTTTGCGTTGAAACTTCCATGAGTCACCGTCAACGTTGAAGATTCCTCGGCCAAGAAGATCGCCGAGAAGTGTGGAGAAAGGCTTACCTTTTGGGTAGTTATCGAAGCGGGTCTTGAGGATGTGCTGGACGTTGTCCGGGTCAGACGTGATTGTGTTTCGAAGCACGTGGGCGTGGATGGTTCCGGTGGGCGAGTTTCTGAGTAGGTGAGTGTACCAATCGCAGAGGTTGCCAAAGTCGCGAGCCCAACTGACGGTCAGGTAGCTCCGGCAGATATTGCAGTTACAGCACGGCTTCATCCGGAGGACGAAGATGAGAAAGGAAAAAACAGAGAACAGAGCGGTGAAGGAGAAGAACAGGAAGCAGAAAGTGGTGGACATGGTTTCTACTGACGGAGAAGCTTCAAGATGACCCATATATATATTATTCTGTTCTGTGTTTCGTTAAAATCTGAGAAGAGGAAAGATCGGGAATACTGCGCGAGGTTGAGGAAGAAAGGAAGGCATAGGGTGATGTATATATAGTTGGGAGGGCCGGATTAATAATTAGCTTGGCATTGGGTTGATAAATTAAATTAGAGGAAACAGTGGGCAAAATAATATTCAATGGTGTGGTTTCAGGTTTTAGGTTCTTGTTTGAAAAACGATCAATAAAGAAAAAATAAATAGGTGGAAATTTGAGAGTTGACGAGCAGCAGCGAAAAATGTAAACGCTCATGAAAAACGCGTGCGCAAAAGGGCACCGGGGCTGCAGAACGCAGCGTCCTTTTTCCATCCACGTGATAGTATTATATATTTACGAGTATTTATTAATAAGTTATTTTTTTAGTTTCCGTGAATTAGGTCTCTGATCAGGGATTTGGTATGTTGAATGACGCATAGTACAAAATGAGGTTAAAATATTTTTACTGATGTGAGAATCAATATTGAATATTTGAAATGAAAATAATGAGAAAACCGAGGAATTAATCAGTAAACTCACAAAGCCATTGCTATAACAGTAAACGACTGGTTAACTTAACTATGTAGTGTGTACGGAATTCAAATGCATTTATTTTCTCTGCAGCCTACTCCTTCCTTTGTTGGCCCCTCTCCCCCTTTGTTGGGTCTTGAATCAATTCAGACTTGCTGACTCAGCAGCATCCTTCTCACCAAATAGGACGTATTGTGTGTTTAATTTTTAATTTGTCACAAATTTATTTGATGAAAATCAGTTTAAAAAAAACAATTACTAAAATAAATTTTATATTTAAATATATTTTTTAAAAAATCAATTTGATAAATTAAAAAATATTTAAATTAATGATAATTTGTGCTTTTAAAATTTATTTTGGAATATATAATAACGAAAAATGACATTAATTTATCAAAATTGATAATTTCTGTTATATAAATATAATTTATTAGAAAAAATTTGAAAGTGTGAAAATATTTAAAATAATATGAAATTAATATATTAAATGGTAAGAATAAAAAATATATAGTTTAATATTAGAAAAAATTAAAACACAATAAAGATATTTTGATCATTTATAAAAGTAAGTACAATTGAACTCCCATTTACAATTTAAAATCCATAAAAAATAGTGTTGATAAATTACATTTTAATTCCATCTCAATTTATATTTTAAAAGTCATTTTATTCACCTAAAAATTATTCAAATAATATTTAATATCTCAAAAGTGAAAGTGATTTTTTTTTGGTGAAAAGAGTTTAGTTAAAAAGTGAATTTTAAATGTCAAACTTTGATTATCCAAACCCACTCGTGATCCCCTCCTAACCTTTACAGCAATACGATTTGCCGCTAAATTTTCTTTTCTCATTGAAAGGCGGAGTTAATTAATCAATTTGTTTTGGACAGTACTTGATCCCATAATCGAGGAAATTAAAGAGTTTAATTTATTTTACAAAGAAGGGGTGATTGTTGTGAGAAGGTCGCTGTCATTGGGTGATGCAAAGGCGAGGAGATAGTAACGGGAGAATAAAAAGAAATCCCAAAAAAATTAATTAATTTAAGTTAAATTTTAAATGTTAAATGTTATAAGTTTATAAGTCAATCTCTTAATTTTATAACTATATTGTAATGAATTTATAATTTATTTTTTAAATTTTAATGTGGTTGAAAAATTAAAAAATTTACTTTTCCTTATTAAAATTTAAAATGTGAGTTACAAATTCACATAAGTTTATAAAATTAAAATATTAAATTATAAATTTTTATAATTTAATATTTAAAATTTAATTTTAATTAATTAATCATGTTAAAATCTCTCTATCATTTTACTTATCCCTATTACTACTCCAACCAAAAAAAAAAAATCACTTCCGTGCACACACATTTTTTTCATTTCTCCCAAGTCCCAGCCCCTTCCTCCCATCATAATATATAATATATATCATAATTAATATACTTTTTTCTATTACTAGAATCTATATTAGCTATGTTTATATTAATAATATATATATATATATATATATTTAATTTATATATATATTTTGTTCATTTAAATATATTATAAATTAAAATTATTCTCACATAAGAAGGAATAAATATGGTATATATACATTCATGTTTTACTAAGAAGGTAATTTATTGTACCAAGAAAAAAAAAGATAATTTAGTATTTTTACATTTTAAATATATTTTTCTTAACATCGATGGTCCCCTAAAATGTTTAATCCAAACATTGGTCCTTTTACCTTGATATTTTAGTCATTTAGTCATTTTCACCAATTTTCCCCCATTATTGGGAGCAATACAAATCTCAATGTACCGGGAGGCAACTTCAATTGATGACTCATATCTGAGATTTTTGAACAACAAATGATTGCCAGCCAAAAACCAAAAAACTGATCCCATTATGATGAGTAATTATCAATTGACAATTACGTACGCCCACCTAATTAACTCAAATTTTTATACTTTCAACTAAACAGTCGTAAATTATAGCTTAATTAGTGTAAGTCCGATACATACATGTGGAATTTGAGAAAAGTTGTGCGTGGAATTTGAGAAAATAAAGTTGTGCGTTTAACAACTTATGCTTCACCTCTTTTTCTATTGAAAATTGATTGATTGGATTTTCTAACAGTATTCTTGGAATTATTATGGCACTGCACTGTTTCTGGCCAGGCGCATATGGTTTCAAAATGAAAAATATCAAGTTCTATGAATCTAGATTCCAATAAGAGGTGGTTTCAATAATATGAGATAATTATTTCTGGAACGATGGAAGATCTTCACGTGATTATATGAAAGCAGTGATGAATCGGAGAATCTTAAAACATGAGCGAGCATTAATTGAGGTGGCTGCAGGTCGAGCAGCATTTGGATGCTAATAATTGACCGGCGAGAGTCGGCGGCCATACTTTGTATGGGTGATTGGAAAAGGAGAGGGGGAAAAATGGTTGGCCACGAGGAGGGGGAAGCCCGATCCAGAAAATCTCACCACCGAAACTGTCAGCAAAGCGGGCCACCTGCTCATTCTGTAACTAAGCTATTTTTTTCATACGTCTGATGTGTGATCAGACATTAAATATATATGTGCAGTGGCGGAGCCATGTCATGGCGAGAGACTGCATTTGCAACCTTTCATTTCGGAGAAAAAAATTACAAGTAATATATATAAATTTTACAATTTCACATCTCATACTTTTAATATATTGCACACTTTAAACACACTGAAACTAAACCATTTTTTCATACATATAATGTGTAATTAGATATTAAATATATATGTGTAGTGGCGGAGTCAAGTTATGATATAAGATTGCATTTGCATCCTTTTATTTCATAGGAAAAAAAATACAAGTGGGGTATATAAATTTTTATAACTTCACATCTCATACTTTTAATACATTACACACTTTAAACACACTGAAACTAAGCTATTTTTTCATGCGTATAATGTGTGATTAGACATTAAATATATATGTGCAATGGCAGAGCCAGAGTTATGGTAAAAGACTGCATTTGCATCCTTTTATTTGAGAGAAAAAAATTACAAGCAAAGTATATAAATTTTACAACTTCACATCTTATATTTTTGATATCTTGCACAATTTAAACACACTGGAACTAAGCTATTTTTTCATACATATAATCTGTGATTAGATATTAAATATATATGTGTAGTGGCGGAGCTGAGTTATGGTAAAAGACTGCATTTGCATCCTTTCATTTGAGAGGAAAAAAATTACAAGCAAGGTATATAAATTTTACAACTTCACATCTCATACTTTTGATATCTTGCACACTTTAAACACACTGGAAACTAAGCTATTTTTTCACGCCTATAATGTGTGATTAGATATTAGATATATATGTGTAGTGGTGGAGCCAAGTTATGGTATAAGACTGCATTTGCATCCTTTCATTTGAGAGGAAAAAATTACAAGCAGGGTATATAAATTTTACAATTTCACATCTCATACTTTTGATATCTTGCACACTTTAAATACATTGGAACTAAGCTATTTTTTCATACATATAATATGTGATTAGATATTAAATATACGTGTGTAATGGCGGAGCTGAGTTATGATAAAAGACTGCATTTGCATCCTTTCATTTGAGAGGAAAAAATTACAAACAAGGTATATAAATTTTACAACTTAACATCTTATACTTTTGATATCTTGCACACTTTAAACACACTAGAACAAAACTATTTTTTCATGCATATAATGCATGATTAGATATTAAACATATATGTGTAGTGGTGGAGTTGAGTTATGGTAAAAGGCTGCATTTGCATCCTTTCATTTCAGAGAAAAAAATTACAAGTAGGATATATAAATTTTACTACTTTACATCTCATACTTTTAATATCTTGCACACTTTAAACATGTAATTTTTTTAAAAATGTAATTTATGTTATTATAATTTTAGTCACAATATAATTATTATTTTTAATTATTAAATTATAATTTTTATAAAAAAAAATATTAATTTTAAAATTAAATTATCTTACACCTATATTGGCTCCGGGTCTTGGACTTGCCAGTATATATGTGCTCCTCTTTCCGGTAGAAATTCGAATACTAATTGATTGGCTGTATGCGTTATTCATCATAAACATTTTTTGACATCTCTTTTGCTTTATGTCTGCCAGTTGGTCAATTCAGTTTTACCATCGTAGGCCAGACTTTCCTTCTTTCTGTCGATTTCTATTGTTTTATTTTATCTCTTTCAAATAAATCTAACAATTGAGATTTGAGACCTTGTGCCTGGATAAATGGCAGCATGCCAATTTAACCGTTGAGGACGTCGTTAAAGTCTTTTTCCCCCGTTATTGAAGTCTTCTCATAAAGTATTACACGGGGAAAGGCTGTCATATCGCGGGCGCGCGTACGTACTATCGATACCATTCTTAATAAATAAATAAATAAATAATCTCATTCTTATGCAAGGCTTGCATATTACTTAAAATTTTCAATGAAACATATATATTATTTATATATATT